GCTATCCTTCGACGTAGAAGGCGATACGCAAAATAATGTATTTCAGAAAAAACAGTTTACCTCCAATTGTACTTTGAAGCACAAACCACTATTTGTTATCTGCACCATCACATAAAACTTCCTTTATAAGCTTGAGCAGTAACAATTAGAAAAGATGACATTGACATAAACAAAAAACAACAACGATATAAAATGAGGGATCAAGAAAACCGTTTCTGCGCGAAAGTAACATCTCTAAACGTCCCATTTTCGTAGTGGTTCGCAGGATAATATGCTCTTTCATGAGTAGGTTCACGTAGCTTTCGGTACACAAGTAGTCGTCTATAATATGCTTTTGAAAAATATCTCAGGAAAGGAGCAGACATTACCTGCTTGTTTTAAGAGAAAGACGCTGTTCGCAATTTGCTAGGAGTTCAAGACATGGATGGAAGGGCAGGCAGGCTTCAGAATAGCTATAATAAAATTAAGTGAGACATGCTGTATTACTTATGTTCATTATCAAACTCCTTTGGCTTTTTCTCTTCTTTAGCAACAAGATAACATAGAGAATTCACGTATAGTCAGAATTATTAAGAGGATGCAAGCTACAAAGTAAAAAGTCAAAATAAGAAATTAGAAATCCGTAAATATATCAGATTAAGCCAAAATAATGCGAAGAGCAGTGCAAAGGCTGGGACAATCTTTTGGCGGGCGAGGGAAAAAAAGCTGCATCGTGCGCCTAACCTCTGTACCAAAGAGGCGTAGCGTAGCTCAAACGAGCCTTACTCGTAGTCTTGCACCATTGCTTATGATCCAAATATATAAGGGAATATATTACTTTGTGAAATTATATTTTGAAATCGTAGAAAAAAAATAATTCCCACTAATCCAAATCTATACGCGTGCACAACTCCGTCTCCACTTAGACTGACCCCTGTACGTGGCATGACATGATCATGACATTTACGAACTTTATGAAAATTTTTGAATGGTTTAATGAATTTAATAATATAAGTTTTGTCTAAGTAAGTTCCAGAGATAGTAATGTTGAAGCACACAAAGGTAACTAGCTTGAAAGTTGTCAAAATAAGATTTTTGAATGTAAGAGTAAACATACGTATCAAGACTATGTGGAAGATTATAGATGAATATACCTAATGTTCAAGTTCAGAGTATCAAGGAATACATGCAGTAACTCGCTTACCTTTCGAGAATGACGGGGAACCAAAACGATAATTTTGCTCCAACAAGTAGAACGCTAGCGGCCAAATCGCATAAATCCGTAAAGGTTTTCTCTAACGGATAAGGTGCTTTTTCAGGAAAATGCGTCTGGCTGAATATTGACCTATAATGATAAAAAGGATTGGTAGAGGTGCCTAAACATACTGGTCACTGCTCGGCAAGGTCCAATGATCTTTTCTCGGCTTTTTACCGATTTTTCTCCCTTTCTCTCGAATCCCATATGGCGCTTAAAGTAGAAAACGTGACGTTCCAGAAATAAAGACAACTGCACACAAAACGCAACGCACGATCAGTAACTATTGCGTTGAACAAAGGCCTAGCCCATATGCCATGCCAGCTTGCATCAGCGAGTAAACCTGAGAGATACCGGACCTCTGTTCCATACTGCTCAAAATTTGCTCGCACGCTCTCTTCTTTTGAACGCATTACCACATCGTGTCGAGATGACTTTCCTGAAACTTTTGTTAACTGCAGCTTTCATTTTTCTCACGAAATTCTGAAATTTGGTCAGTTTGGC